GTTGTTCCAGCTTGCGGGACTGGCCTAAGGGATTTTAAAGGGGTTTTAATTACTTTTAATCAGATTAGTTTAAATATTTCTTTTTAATTAATTTTAATAGGTGTATTGTATGTTTGTATTTTATCTAATTGTTAGCCGCCCTGAGTCCGCAAGGAGAAGGGCGGGATATAAATGTAATTAAATAAATAAATAAAATAAAAATTTTGGGAGCCACGAAATTGGGGCTTGGAATGTCCAAAGTTCCTCAGATCTGCTCTAGTGCCGAAGGTAGTAAAAGATGCCTGGAATGTAAGGCTTTTGATTTCTTATGTTCCTTGATAGATAAAAAGGTGCTGCATTCAGGAAATTCTGCACATGTTCATATCCTGAGATAAAAGATTAGAATCTCCTTTGATCTATGATTGTGGCTGTGCCGTTTCTCTGGCAACAGTGTAAAGGTTGTGATATGTTTTGGTGATCTGGAATTAAATCCAGGTGCCAACAAAGTTTGATCCTACTTAGCTTTTCAAAATCAGGTGAGGTTGGCTGAGTGCCGCCACTTTGCCTCCAAATTAAAAAGAGCAGAGAACAGCACAAGCTCTACAGTTGGGAGATGTATTGAACCGTACATCTGAACGTAAGATTCACTACAAGAAAGACTAGGGGTGAACATGATAGCAGTGTTCCAATACCTCAGCGGGTGTCACAAAGAAGAAGTGGTCAAGCTTTTCTCCAAAGCACCTGAAGGCAGGACAAGAAACAATGAATGGAAACTAGTCAAGGAGAGAACCAACCTAGAATTAAGGAGAAATTTCCTGACTGAGAACAATCAGTGGAACAATTTGCCTCCAGAAGTTGTGAACACCCCAACACTGGAAGTTTTTAGGAAGAGATTGGGAAACCATTTGTCTGAAATGGTAATAGGGCTTCCTGCCTGAGCAGGGGGTTGGACGAGAAGATCTCCACGGCCCCTTCCAACTCTTGTTATTTTGAATTCTGCATATTGAGCATCAACCTTGAGCATCAACCAGCCCCACCCTGGAAAGGTGCTTGATGAGGAAGATCAATAGAGTTTCTCCCTCAGTCCTGATAGGCCTCCCTGTCCAATTGCAGGTGGCCCTGGTGGGCCAGGAGCCCGTCCTATTCTCCGGGTCCGTCTGGGACAATATCACCTACGGCCTGCAAGGCTGCAGTGAAGAAGATGTGAAGAGAGCAGCGAAAGAAGCTGATGCCCTGGGATTCATCAATGAACTGGAAGGAGGCTTCACTGCAGGTGGGCAAAATCCGCTCTCCCCCCCCTTTGATTCATCCCAGAAAACCCCACTTTCCTCCCAGAAAACCCACCGGTCCTGATTATTGGCTTTTGTAAAGTGAAATCCTCCTTACTTTGTTGCAATGTATACTGCAGTCCTTGTGTTAGGACCATTCCATTGTTCCAAATTACAGTGGCGCTGAAAAAAACAGAAGTGGCGACTAGTCCTTGACTTTGCCCCTCCCCTGCAGTCACGGGATCGCATTCTGGGTGCTTGGCAACCCTTGCACTTACAACGGTTGCAGTGCCCCACGATCAAGTGAGTGCCATTTGCAGCCTTCCTTGCCAGCCTCCGACAAGCAAAGCCAGTGGGGAAGCCGCAAAGTAGGTGACGAGTCACTGGGATAAGTCTCTCCCACCTGGCAGGAGCTACTCCAGTATCCAGTATCCGCAAAAATAGGCATGTGCTGCTCCGACACCCACTCTCCCTTGCCTGGCAGCAGACATTCTGGGGCCCGAAAAATGTAGCACATCTCTGAGAGATGTGGCTGCCTATGTACCCTCCCACACCAATTCCCGCATCCAAAAAGCCTCACCCACAGTGCTGCAACCGCCCACACACCCTCGCCCCCCCGACATCAGCCACTTATTGCCTGCCAGCCTTCGTGTGAGCCTCCTGGGATTTTGAAATTCCTGTAGCCAACCCCCCCTGACTTTGCTTGTGAGAAGCTAGCAAGTAATGGCAGGGGGATCCTAGCCTAATGACCAGTGGGGTTAAGTTAACAACGGCAGTTAGGACTGCATGCATGGATTGCCTTCACCAAGCAAGGCGGTCACGTGATGTCACATTTTACGCATAGCTTGCTTAGCAACAGAAACTCCAGTCGTGCTTACTGGTGTGTAACCTGAGGCCTACTGGTAAAGCTCTGGGTTACACGGATGGCTCCAATTGTAATGATGTAATTGAAAGACTAAGATAGGAAAGAGTGTTCCAAGAGCTAATTGCACTCTTGCGCCGTTTCCAAAATCGCGCATCCTAAAATCTCTTCTGCCGTTGTTAAAAGTGCAAGGGGCTGGTTTCCCTCCTCCGGACCTTTTGCACTGAAAATACCGTAAGAGAGCCAGCTGTCCTGATTGCAGTTTCCCCCTCCCACTTCAGAGAGTGTCGGGCTTCAGTGTTTGCCTTGTTCTTCAGTGTTTGCCACCCCTTAGGACAAAAGATGAATAGGAGTAGGAATGGTGTGGAGAGTGGAGGATGGAGTGGAGTGGAGTGGAGTGGAGTGGAGTGGAGTGGAGTGGAGTAGAGTAGAGTAGAGTAGAGTAGAGTAGAGTAGAGTAGAGTAGAGTAGAGTAGAATTCTTTATTGGCCAAGTGTGATTGGACACACAAGCAATTTGTCTCCAGTGCATAAGCTCTCCGCATACATACAAGCAACAAGTGATAAATCACAATTAAATCTTTGGTCAACCTTGACTTCGCTCTTGATTGCCTCTGTCTTTCTTGTCTTCCTGCAGAGGTGGGGGAGAAGGGAGGGCAGCTCTCCATCGGGCAGAAGCAACGATTGGCCATCGCCCGGGCCCTGATCCGTGACCCAAAGGTCTTGATACTGGATGAAGCCACGAGTGCCCTGGACACCAAGAGTGAAGCTGCAGTGAGTGCGAGGGATCTGTGAGGGGGGGCTGGGGGTGGACCTTAGCTGGATTAGTTCAGGGACCCTGAAGGGCTTAATCTGAATTTTTGTGTGGTGACAGCATAGGAAAACTGGGCTTATTTGACCAGAAGTGTCATAATTTCTTCCTAGTTTATTTAGGTGATAGACTTTAAAATCTGGTGCCATCCCAATATGGTAAATTTAGAGTTTTATGTTGAGTTGTCTTCTCTTTT